ATCCAAAATAGTTTCTATCTATCTATCTATCTATCTATCTATCTATCCCAAACTCTATCTATCTATCTATCTATCTATCTATCTATCTATCTATCTATTCTAAAGTTTATCTTTATATGATAACTATGTACAGAATGATGTTTTTCGGAATACCTAACTTGTCCATAGAATTTATATCCGCATTCGACAGATTTGACTAAAAGCGATGCCTCGTTTTGTTCACATCCATTCCATTGATATTCCTTCATTTTTTTTATTGGCCTGTTGCATTAATTTGCTGTGAGGCATATATTATATTCCACTACATTGCATAACCACATTTTCCTAACAACGGATATTAATCTTAAACAGAAGTTAATGTCGAACTGCGCATCATTTTTCTCCCTCTGGCTCCAGGTGGTGAAAGCAATGTAGGAATTAATTGCAGAAATGTCTTTTTTTTTTACCTATCGTGAAATCTCATTTAAAATTCTACTTCATTGTAAACATATTCATGTTTTATTTTTTCTTTCAATAATTTAATTAATTGTAAAGAAGTATAATTTATTGTCATGAAAATACGCGGCTAAAGATTTTCCTGTATTTTATTTTTAAATAACCAAAAATTCATATCCGTTGTCCTTGGAATATAACAGGCAGGTATTTCCTGATATATCCAGTAGATTTACATGAGAAAGATATGAAAGGGTCAATGGATATGAATGAGCCTTACCTATATTTACTTAATATAGATACGAACAAAATGAAATCTGATAAAAGTAAGAATGAAGCTATAAAAAGAAAAACAGAATCTCATGATTGATTTGTTCTTTTGCCTTACGTAGAAAAAGAGTTGTTTCGTTAAAGATTTATGCGGAAATTGAATTAACACCAATTTTAACGACTGGTTATCAGAACGGATTTAACAGTAAGATTACTTTTCTTTTTAGCCGGGGAAAAGAAGCCGCAGATACTTCAGCTTTTTTATGGTCATTTTATTTTGATGAAAGATAATTGGTATCACAACTTAGTAGATACTTATTAGTAAGTAATCGGCTATAGAACATTGTTTCCTTCAAATCATTCTCAATTCTGTCACCAGGCCTAACTTATAATTACATATTTGTGAAGGTGTCTGAAGATGTAAATGAATCCCTGTCCCTTATTGAAAAGTTTTTTATAAACAGTCTCAATGAGAAAAGCTCTACACTTGGTCTTTTCATCCATCCTCATTTGCAGAAATGAACTCACACTGATATAGCGTATTAACGACGTAGCTAGTCTAACTCTTATAGTAATTTTCTAAGCGAAGCTTAGATGTGGCACAAGGCCAAAATTATGAGGCACCCATTTAGGATCGAACTCACTAATCAGTCGCAATTGTTCTAGTGAGACATGCTTGCTAACCTTTATTACATCACGACGATTTGACCTGTAATTTTCTAAGCGTATGCAAGATGTGGCACAAGGCTGAAAGTATGAGCCACCCAGTGAGGGTCGAACTCACTAATCAGTCGTAATTGATTGAGCGTGTCACTATTGACCATAGCAACACATCGAAATACTCCTAGAGTAATTATTAAATGTAAGTATGATAGCCGTTAAGGACGGTCTGGATAAGTTTATATCAGTTTTTTCTTCTTCTTCTTCTTTCTCTCTCTCTCTCCGTCTCTCTCTTTGATGTTTTTCTTTGCCGCTTTTAATCTCAAACCAGTTCGTTATATCAAACGATGATGTTTCTCCGATTACCTAACTTCTCCTCTATAGAATTTATATCCGCATTCGACAGATTTGACTAAAAGCGATGTCTAGTTTTGTTCACATCTTTTACATGGATATTCCTTCCTTTTTGTTATTGACCTGTTGCATTAATTTGCTGAAGGACATATATTATATTCCACGACATTGAAAAACCACATATGATAGCCGTTAAGGACGGTCTGGATACGACAACGTTTGATCACATAATGATTGTTGGCCCCTATATTTCCCCAGTGTATAATCCCTCTAGCTTTAATCAGGTAACATTAGCAAGGGTACATTCCAAATGCAATGTTGGAATCCTCCAAGTTTGGTGCTGTTCAACCAACAAGTCTACAACGTGTACTTCTTACGTAACGTTTCCCTAAGGTAAGATATTGATGCTACAACAGCAGGTATTGCATCTCAACTTTACTACAGAAAACAGAAAGTCTTGTATCATCCCACCAAATCCAGAAAAATCTTGCTTCTAGCCTTTTGTGGATAAAATGTGTATGGAAAAAGCTACACGATGTTATAGATATATCTTGTCACCAGGGTATTTAGAAAACTAATGGTGGCTATGTAATTGCGTGGGTAACATTTGTTGTTTCACAAGAACGCCTAAAAAACTATATTTTTGTCATGTGTGAAAGACATAGTAATGAAGTAACAATTATTAAGTCTTCAGCTACGAAAATTGATTCATTGTGTCGTGCTAGAGAAGTTTCTCTTTCACACATTTATTAGTCTACCATTCGGCCAAGCATTGAATATTGCTGTCACATTTGGTCTGCTACTACGGCTATGCGTTTGAAGACTTATGATAAAATATAAAGAGGAATCTTTAGTGTTATTAGTTATGAACTGGCATCTCGGCTTTCGTCCATTTCCCACCGCCATGACGTAGTTTCTCTATGTATTTCCTATCAATATTTTCATGATAATTGTTCTTAATATCTCTACTCCAAAAACCTCTATTCATCTGGCAGTTGATATGGCTAGATGTAACCGTAAGTTCTATTCTAACAGTTTCTTCTCCCGCATTTCTCGATTGTGAAACTCTCTACCGGCTTCTTGCTTTTCAATCAACTTGATCCTCAAAAATTGAAATCCAGTGTCAGTCGCTATATTTTGTCTCCTTATTTTCTGTTCTTTTATTGTTCTCTTTCCTTAATAATGTTTTCTTTTTTCATATATTCTCACATTGAGTAACACCTTGCGTCTTAGTGGCTTTATTAACTTGCATGGTGTGATTAAATGATTAAAAAATATATTTGTGCTCATTTATATACACAATGCTTTCACAGTGCTGAGGTTTTGTCTCACAAACATAATGCAATATGCTATCGTCATTTAAAACTGATTCACGGAGAACTGAACCCAATTTAAGGTGCACAATTAGACCTCTCACTCACCATTTTTAATCTCCATTCATTATCAATTGTATTGTAGATCTTATTAAATTTCAAGCAGACAACCCCAGCAGACAAAACTCACTTAGTGATAGCTATGGCACGTGCACACGTAGAGATATATCCACACAACGATACAGATAACTCAGATACCCCGTGATATACAGGTAGCCCTCGATTAGTTCGCTAAAATTTTGATATAATAAAATTCTATTAATGCATGTATAATACTCGATTATACTCGATTAGTGCCGTCAAATTTAATTTAACCATAGTAATTTAAAATTCATTTTTATAGTTACCGTTTAATTAAAAAAAATTCTTTAATTTAAAACGTAATATGGTTAAGTATTTTGTTTGCCAATTTTGTTTAGATTCGATTAATGCGTTTTCGATTAGTGTGTATCTTTTAATGTACACATTAGCCACATAACCAATGGATTCCCGTAATGCGTAGATATCATAATTCAAGCAAGGTACCTTTTCGGCACTTTAATATATATATATATATATATATATATATATATATATATATATAGATATATAGATAGATATAGAGATAGATAGATAGATAGATAGATAATATTAGTCGTCATATATATATATATATATATATATATATATATATATATATTCGCAAAGAGGATAGAATCCAGGTAGGATTCAATGTCCAAGACAGAGTAAGAATTTTTTTGCATTTGTAGGTCGGATGAATTGAATCGTGATTACGATTCTAATGAAATAAATTATAACCATGGAATATTAGTGTTTGCCTTATATATATATATATATATATATATATATATATATATATATATATATATATGATTGATGTGAGCCTTTCAAACCCCTTTTATTCTACATTCGACACTATCACTTAATTACAGAAGTGTTGAAACAAAATGGCCATATTTGTAGTGATTTTATGACATATTTATGTTATAATTTTCGAATAAATAATTATATATATATATATATATATATATATATATATATATATATGGGGTGTGTATGTGCGTGTGTCTGTGCGTTTCAGAAACGCAAACCTGAAAACCTAATACTGGCAATCGATATTTGATTGCCAAATAAGATTTTGTCAATAGTCGATATTTATTCACACCCGAATATTTCCTACTAAAGAGGAGTGTGGCTAGCTCAAGAATTTGCGAAAGTCACTCTTTGAAAGACTGGGCATTTTCAGAACTCAAAGGCTATCGAATAACTCGAAAGAAAATCTACGTATGTTTCCAAGCAATACTGAAGTTTCCTATATGATACTATAATTACGTAAGAATAAACGAGAAGAGAAAAGAACGAAAAATAAGCTGAAAGTTACATGTAAAAATGTAAAAGAGAAAAAGTTTATATGAAGAGAATAGGATAGATAGATAGATAGATAGATAGATAGATAGATAGATAGATAAAAGTCGATACAAATTTTTCTACTATTTCGAAGAAGGCCTTCTCGCCTCCAAAAGACAATTCTTCCATTCACTGTTGCAAAGAAAGATTTCTCTAGTGCGTTATATTTCCTATTCAATCGATAGTTCCGCCCCTCGGGAGTGATTGGTATGAGCGATGGTTAGGCCAGCGACAAGAAAGACAGGGAAGAGAATGGGCGTGCCAGTTGGTTGGTCGCAACTGGCTCAAAATAAAAGCACAATGATTATTACTTCTTCTCGCGAGTAATCTCGGAAAACAATAAAATTTCGATAAGATGCGAGATTTCCAGCACTTCGATAAAAACTTCCTGTGCTAATAAATCAAAGCTTGAGACGAATTTATGTCTGAAAGAAACAGGGCGTCTTTATGAAATAATACCTTTTATAAAGAGAGGAAGAAGAGAAAAGGTGGGAGGAGAGGTGATTAAGAAGAAAGAAGGAAAAGAATGCAAAAGGAAAGAAGAAAAAGAACGGAAAATAAAGGTAGAAATTTTGGTAACAAAGGAGAAAGCAAAGAAAAGGAATAAGAAGAGAGAAAAAAAAGTAAAACAAAAGAAGCTACATAACTGAAAAAGAAGCTAAAGAAAGAAATAGAATGAAAAAAGAAAAAGAAAGAATGAAGAAAAAGACGAAAGAAAGGAAAAATGAAGAGACAAGAAAGAAAGAGAGAAAATATAATAGGAAACAAAAATGTTAGATAAGGAAAGAGAAAAAAAACAAAGTTAAAAGAAAGAAGAAGAAAGTGAAAGAAAAATGATACTAAAAAGAAACAGAAGAAAGGTTAATTGAAAAAAAAAACAACGTAAAGAACAAAAGAAAGTCAAAAGAAAGAAAAAGAAAGAAAAAGAGAGGAAAAAGAAAGAAAAAATAGGAAAAAGAACGAAAAAATGAAAAAAGAGAAAAAAGATAAGATAGAAGACTAAGAGGTAATTAAGAAGAAATATAAAAAAAGAAACGGACAGAATAAAGATACAGAAGATATAAAGAAAAAATGAAAAAGAAAAGAATGAAATGAAAGGGCGGAAAGTTAGAATGAAGCTTCGAGGTGGTTCATAAAAAAAAACAATTAAAGAGATAAAGTAAGCAAAAGAAAAAGGTTTGAAAGGAGAAAAAAGAAAAGAAATGAAAAATTATAACTCAAAGATGTTAAACTAGGAGAAATTGTAGAATAGATAACGACATGTAAAAATTGTGAATGAATATGGGAATGAATAATGGGAAAAATATATGTATATATAAACGTTGAGTCTTAAAATAAGAGTATTTTCTAAAAACGTGATATAGAGATAAGAAGTGATGGAGGAGGAGAAACGCAGAGAATGGAAGATAAATATAACGACAAAAAGAAAATAGGAAAAGAAATCACGAAAAATTCATTCCTATTTGATGAAAGTAAAACTTAGAAAATTATTATATAAAAGCAACAAAAATTATTATGAGTACCGAACAAAAAACACGGATACAGTGACCGACCGATAAAGATAAAACGGAAAAAGAAAAAAAGGACAGGTAAAGAAAAACAAGTGCAAAGACCCATGGGTAAAAAAACGGGCATAAAATTAGATTGATAAAGGAAAAAAAAACAGGTGTAAATTCCGATAGAAAAATACTAAAGAGGGGTGTACAAATCGATTGGTAATTAAAAAGACGGGCGTAAAATCGGTAAATGAAAAACTGGCGTAAGCTTCGCGAGTTAAAAAAGAACTTAGATAAAGACCGAATATTAAAGTAAAGATGTGCACCAGAACAGATAGACAAAGAAATAAGCGGACGTAAAAACTGAAGGTTAATAAGAAAAGAGCCGAAAGTACGATTGGTAAAGGAAAATTCGGGCATAAAGAAAATCAACGAATAAAGGAAAGCAAGACCGTAAAAACCAATGGTTAAAAAAATAGTTAAATAAAAATAGTAATAGGTACATGCAAATATATTTCTACTAATGTTTACATTATAAAAAGTATATGAACCACTCAAGGTAGAGATTTTATGAGATTTGTAATAGGATCATAATAGAAATAATTAGGAAGTAAAGGTTATGGTAGTAGGAGGTTAAGATAGGGCTACTAGCCCAACAACTTGGAGATCTGATTGTATTGTTCGAGGTTGCACAGGCGAACCTACTTGGGTAGAAACTGCCTGTGTGAAAATTCATTTTCCCAAATGAAATATGAGACCTACAATGGCGGCTCTTAGTAGTAAAGATAGCACTGATATATGAACATATATATAGGTAATTATTAATATGTCTAGTTTGACACAAGGCTACATAAGTATCGCATTCCTTAGGAAAAAACTTGATAGGATTGAGGAAAGGCTTGGTTATTGATTGTAGTGCCACGTTAAACAACCGCTATCTATCTATCTATCTATCTATCTATCTATCTATCTATCTATCTATCTATATATATATATATATATATATATATATATATATATATATACCTGTGTGAAAATTCAATTTCACAAATGAAATACAGATGTATGAGACCTACAATGGCGGCTCTTAGCAGTAAAGATAGCACTGGTATTTGAAGATACATATAGGTAATTTTTAATATGTCTAGTTTGACACAAGGCTACATAAGTATCGCATTCCTTAAGAAAAAAACTTGGTAGGATTGAGGAAAAGCTTGGTTATTAATCGTAGTGCCACGTTAAACAACCGCTATCTATCTATCTATCTATCTATCTATATATATATATATATATATATATATATATATATATATATAATCTTCAGAAACTGTAACAAACAAAACACAGACAAAACTAGAAAAGCAATAATAAAGATTTACAAAAATAACGGATTCGACATATATATAAAACTAATCTAAACGAAGTACATATTCTAGATGTTACCTTCAACCTTAAAAAAGGCACATATAAACCACACAGAAAACCCAATGATAAACCACTCTATATACACACATCTTCCAACCATCCACCTTCTATAATAAGGCAGATACCAAAATCGATTAACCTCAGACTTTCTGACAATTCCTCCAATGAATCCAAATTTAACCAAGCTAAGAAAGACTACGAAACAGCCATAAAAGATAGCGGATTCCCAGCAACACTCACATACTCACCACAGAACACAAGTAAAGGACAACAGGAAAAGAGATATCATATGATTCAACCCACCGTACAGCAAAAAAACGTAGGAAAAATATTCTTCAATGTCTTACACAAACACTCCCGGAATCAAGCACCCTACACAAAATATTAAACAAAAACACAGTAAAAATCAGCTACAGTTGCTCCGAGAACATGGCACAAATAATAAAAAAAAGCACAAGAAAACTATCAACAAACCACACGAACAAATCAAACTCACGTGCAACTGCAGAATAAAGAACGAATGTCCCTTAAACGGTAATGTTTACAAAACAATGTAATATACCAAGCCACGATAAAACCACCAGATAATGAAGAATAAGCTTACATAGGAGTAACTGAAGGACACTGGAAACAAAGTAATTATGCACACAAGACGTCTTTCACAAATAGTAAATATGCGAAAAGCACAATGCTTTCTAAGTATATCTGGGAAATTAAATTAAAAAACAAAACGCACATCACACAAACATACCTTGGAAAATAAGGAAAAGATCATCAGCCAACAACAACCAATCCAAATCTTGTAAATTTTGCTTGGAGGAAAAAATAGCTATCATTACCTTCCCAGACCAAATTAAATTATTAAATAAAAGATCAGAGTTACTCTCAAAATGCAGACATGAAAATAAATTTTTACTACGTTACTTAAAAATCAAAAACTGAAAAAATAAAATAAAATATATAAATAAAACGACAATAAAATAAGCAAAATAAATGAACCCAAACAAATTACCAAATTAGACCCGTTAGAATAGACGAAATAGAATAAATAAATAAAAAATAAAAAACAAAATCAGTGAACCCAAATAAATAAAGTAAATAATAAACAAATTAACAAATCATTATGACCAAAATATTAGTTAGACTATAAAAATCAAACCAAAAATTAGACGAAAAATATAGCTATAACTGTTATATAACGATTAAAAAAAAATACTATGTTCCATAAAAATCGAAAACCGAAAAGAGTAAATAAAAATATACAGTATAATAAATAAATAATAAAAAGAAGTAAAATAAATTAATCTAAATTCATCCAAATAAATAAATAAAATAACAAACCAATCCCGAAAAAGTAACCGTTAGAAAAAAACAAATAAAGTTATTCCATCCTAATAAATAGATGAAGTAATAAATAAATTAAAAACTACTCCCGCCAAAATAATAGTTAGAATAAACTACAACAATCAGCCCCAAAAATGTATAAATAGCTTTAATTAACTTCCCAAACCAAAACCAAACTATTAAATAAGCGATATAAACAAATTTTTACTACGTTAATAAAAACACCGATTAAAATAAAAAAATAAATAAATAAATATATAAGATAAGAAATAAAATAAAAATAAAAATAAATAAAAACAAGCAAAATAATTTATCCCAAATAAATAAATAAACAAATAAACGACTTCCGGTAAAATAAACGCCAAAATAGACTACCCACAATGCACCACTGGCCTGAAGAATAACAGCACTTGTGGCCTGACGATTGCGTCTAGCATGAAACAGACTGTCGCCTCTAACTGTTGACTTCTATATTCACTTTTATATTTACACATGCTCTATCTCTGATATTGAACACTTTATTCTATAAATGTAGCACATCCTAAGACTATATTCGTTCATATATATATATATATATATATATATATATATATATATATATATATACATATATATATATATATATATATACTGTTCCCATTTTAATTTTTTGCACCTTAATATTGCTCACTGGGTTTTTCCACATGTCTCGCTTTATTTTGTTCGGGAGTGAAATTGTTATCTATTTATACAAGGCTTTTAGATTTATTTAAAGAAACGGCATATTTCTGCCTATCTATTAGAAGGCAAAACCGACAATGTTGTCCAAGAATCATATTCTGTAAGAACCTTTAGCAATTTTAGAGTCATAAATCTTGTAATTTCTAAATAGAGCTATTTTATGGTTTCCACGTTTCTACCTGAGCACCGAATGTGCGCCGCTTTGTTTAATCACCTCTTTTATTTTCAAGATCCTTCTTTATGTTCTTAGCTTTATAAACACATTAGTATTCGCTATTTCACTTCTCTGCATATTTATTTCATTGGTCTACCTATCATAGTATATTTATGCACGTCCATTTTTGGTCATGTCTTCTTATTGTGTATTTCACACCTTGAGATTGTCAAGATTGTCCTATAATTTAAATTCCACAGGTTTAAATTATTCGCAACACGCTTCTGATTTAAAGTTAACAAGTTATCCGAATATATTTGCGGAAATATATTCAAGTATATACAGGGAGTGGCAGAAATCCGTCCCTCATTTTAAGCTCTCATCTGCGTGATACAAACGACGAGGTAAATGTTGATGGTGTTTTAATCTGGCTAATGTCTTATCATTTGTCTTAAATACCATCAGTTACTAGCGTGGCTGGCTTGGACTGGTAGACACTTTTCGTTTTCTGTTGAAACTGGTTAATCTGTAATTACACACAGAGAGCTTGTCATGTTCATTTCATGATACATCGGGATGATGCTTTTACTGCTATGGGTTGACAATTTCAGGTCTGTAGATTCAGCGCTTAAAATAACGCCTCCTTAAAAACCTCGAACCGCTTGCACTCCACAAACTGTTGAGGCTCTGGAAATCATCTACAACCGTCTATGGCGAATACAGTCGACTATAAAGACGTTATCATTTTTTAATTTAAAAAACTGTAGGCACACTGAAATAAGTGTTTTAATACCTTGGTCTTTCTGTCTGTCTTTGAAATGTGAGAGGTATTTTCACAGAAACTTTGTATTTTAACTGGTATTTCTTTCACGTTATTCGACTTGTTTTTAAACATAGTCGTAATAATCATAAGTTGTTTGAATGACTTCGTCCAACAGTTTAACAGTTATTATAAATTTTTGACTAAGTATTTTTTTTTCATTTTATGTCTCTTGCTTTTACACCATGTATTATTAGTCTGGCCATTTACTGTAATTATCGACTACAACTATATATATTCTGAACCATGGCATATCGGTTTTTGATCAAGGTTGAATTTTGATAGGCGATGACTTCGCTGCTAGAGAACAAACTCTGCATGATTCCACTAAATCTTCAATATCTTGATCCCTTTTTTTTGGCCAGTAAGTATAAAACATCATTAAGTATTTTATTCTAGAAATTCCTGGATTTCTTATGTGGAATTGGTTTAGCATACGTTTTTGCAAAGCTGCGAGTATCACAATTCTTTCTACGTCCAAAAGTACATTATTGCAAAATGAAAATGCATTATTTCTAGTAATATTTTTCCTTTAAGTCTTAATTATTTCTTCATTTTCATTATAAAGTTGTCTTAATTCTTCTTTCCTCCAATGTTATGGGCAGTTCTCTTATATTATTGTATAATGCATTATTACTTTCATTTTTGGCCCTTATCGCCGCAATTAATATGCCCTCAAGTGGGTCGCCGAATTTTGGTATTAGTCTAGATAATCCGTCTGTATAACTTAATTTGTTGGATGGTAGAAGCTCTATTTTATAATTATAGTCAACAGGATAGTTCCAAAGAGCTGCAGTCTATTTGCTGTATGTGTTGAAACACCTATTTTCGATCTATATATGGATAATAATAGACGATGCTCTGTTTGTAATATGAATTCTTTACCATGTATAAATTTATGAAACTTTTTCATAGCAAATACCATGGCCAATGCTTGCTTTTCAATTTGGCTGTATT